TTTAAACCCCCGGTGCATTCTCGGCTAATTTAAAATCCTAATAAATACAATAATTTAGCAATTAAAATAAGTTTTAAATAAAATGGTCTTAGCCTGGCACCGAAAAACAAATAACGATGGCGCCAGGCGGACCTCTCTGGGGAGTGCATTCCATAGATGGGGCGCCACCGCAGAGAAAGCCCTCCTCCGGGTACTCACCCTCCTAATCTCATTCACAGAGGGTTCCCGGAGAAGGGCATCCGTTGCTGATCTCAAGGGGTGGGAGGGCATATATGGGCGCAAGCGTTCCTTTAGATATCCAGGTCCCAAGCCATTTAAAGTTTTAAAGTTAATCCACCCCTCTCAGGTGGCTATTCAGTTGTACCTTGAATGCCTCTAATCTGGGAGAGTCCATAACCTCAATGGATCGTTGTTACAGCAGAATGGCCACTGAATCAGTCAGGAAATTTTTCCTGATGTCTAGCCAGAATCTGGCTATATGTAACTTGACCCTGTTATTCCATGTCCTGCACTCTGGGATAATCGAAAAAAGGTTCGGGCTGTCCTCTTTGTGACAGCCTTTCAAATATGCGTAGGGTGCTATCCTATATCCCCCCTTAGTCTTCCCGAGGCTGAACTTGCTACTGTGTGCTCCCCTGCAGCTCGTCTGCAGAATCCTCAGTCAGCTGGTGCAAGCTGGCGCTTACCTTATCCAGCAAGGTGAAACAAACCCGGGATGGATACTCATTGTCTGCAATTATGACTCCAGCCAACCTATCATTCCGCACATAAACGTGGCACAGGTATTCTGAAGGAAAAATTCAAACAAAAACAGTCACAGTTCCTCCCCTGTAAAACTCCTTAGCATTTGTGAGAAAGAACTACAGGCAAACGATACATTTAGGAACACCCCTATTTAAGTATGCAAGTTCAGGATTACTGGAGACAAGTCAATTTTGAGCTCCAAGTCTTCAGGGGGACTTCATTTTGAACAGGTGAATGGAATTACCCCACTGCAAGCCCAGGATATCTTCCAAATGGAAGAACAACTAAGCATGAGCAGCACTGCATAGTGTACACTACAGGAAAAACTGCTCAGGCCAGAAATGCAGGGACCTCATAAAATCATCTGCAGCTCTGGGAATACAGTTTGCAGAGGGCCAGCAACATTAGAGGTAGCCAATGTGATATCTAGTCTGAACAAATAGAGCTACATCCCATATATATATGTATTTTTAGGGGAATATGAGAGGCCAGTGATGGAAGAGAGTAGGAATAGATGAAATATGGGAGAGGCAACAGTAGCAACTGCAGAATGAGTAAGACTTTGTACAAGGCACTGGAAGCAGATATCCCCAATTCCAGGAATTATGCCCAGATACTTCAAGCTTCTGACATTTCATCAGATACGATCACCAACTTTTCTTCAGAACAACAAGGATTCAATGTTTGCTTTGGTTCAAAAAAGATATATATTGTTCCATGTTCTAAACTTGGAATCCTAACAAGCTTTCATTTTCTTAAAAAGTAAACACAACGAGCATCACATAGCATCAGTACATGGAAACTACAACACAGAAAATGTCAGGAATGATACAAAACAAGAAAAGGCCTGAGATATTCCAGTATATTGTGGCAGATAATAAGCACAAGAATTCATCAACAGTTGACTGAGTAGGGCTAAAATGATAAATCATACAGAATGATACTGACATTAGGGGAAATTAGAAGCTAGTTCAGAAGGTCAGCATTCGCTTTCAGCTGATACAGTAAGGAATATACAACTTCTTGTCAGGCAAGTTTCTGCAGCTACTAAATTTTCTAAGACTGAAGCATCATTTATCACATGACTTGCAGAAACTCGATCTACACTGAATTCTCTAATTTTCCTGATCCTCTGTTGCTGTTGCACCTCACAATGTATCCTTAAGTCAAAGGCCAATTCAATCAAGATTAAATAACTATTACTGAAGAAGAGAAACAGTCTGCAGCACATTCTTATACTAATGATAGCTTTATACAGGTGTCTATTTCTACTACTTCACCAACAAGCAGGATCAAGTCATGTTATTCTATAATCTAGATGGCAATGGCCAGCTTATGAGGACAGCTTTTAAAACCCAACCGATTTAGTATTATGGCAAGCATACATCAGCCAATTCAACAAAAACCATTTAATTCCTTAGAAGTATGAATGCTACAGAAGTGCCCATCACATGAAAGATGTAGATGGCTGCAAGCCTCTGAGCTAAGCTTATCTTGTAATCCTGGCCAATTTACGCCCTTATTTAATTGTTTGTGTATTTCTCTGTCACCCAGACCATTGCGTACTCTTACCTTGTTCCTTTACAGAAGCTCTGCTGCCAGGTTCTGAACGCTCTACTATCAGCTGACTTGTGAAGGTCATGAATTCCTGAACACTAAAAACAAGAAAAGCATGCCTCACAATTAATAAGCAAAGCTCTCCGCATTCAACAAATAATCTTGGGGGCCAAACAGATTCCAGAGGGCAAAGTAAACTTCATAGCAGCTGTGGCACTACAACAAATTCACTGCAAAACTTTTCTTTTTTTAAGTAAGGAAACATTCACAGCACAAAACTATGTTTTCTTCTTCAAAACAGAGGCAGAGCACAAGATTTCATAAAAACAAGGGGAACAGCTTCTGAAATGCAGCTCTGTACCAACAACCCACCAAAAAGCCAGGTACCAACTTCTGTAAGCATCCACTCAGTTCAGGTTGCCATCTTGACATCTGTTTTTGTAGCAGCCCCTACCCATACATTATGTAACTATGATTCAAGCTACGCTGTGACAAAGGTATTAAAGAAAGTGTGCTGAAAGAAACAGACAAGTAAGAAATATGGATTTTGAGTTGCTGGAGCAGTTCTGAGTCAGTCTAATTAAAAAATAGTTTTGCAGTAATAATGCCCCAGTATTTAGAGAAAATCCAAACTACTGCAAGACTAATGGCATGATGCTTATCTGAGTACACTTTAACAGAACTGGAGGGACATCACAGCTGACTAGAGAGCACATCAAAGTTGTTTATGTTCTGCTTGCAAATGAAGTAAGACTACATTTTGAGGGCAAAGCACACCTGTTCAGCTTAGCACAGGTGCCAAAGCTTTTTACCATTTAACAACAATCATACTGAGAGGCAGTATTCTTTCAAAAAAGATCAGGGGCACTGAGTCTATTGTAATTTTTGGCAAGGCAACAAAGTGTAAACAAGTGTATACAAGATTGCTGGAGGGTGCCATCCAAATGGCTGCCCGTAACTTTCAGAACTTGGAAGACTGCAGGCATTCAGTGGAAGGCAGGAGAAGCTCAGAGACTGCCTGCACACTCCCCTTGTTCTACAAAACAATTAGATGCCTAATTTTGGCCAACTGAATGTTTCCCCCCTCCTCATGAGGAAAAGTTGAGGCACCACTCAGACTCTTCAGGGTGCTGATGCCTTCGTCCTTCCCTCCCCATCTCCCAGAATGCCACCCCCTCCCCGGATCCCTAAAGTCATTCTTCCATCTTCACAGCCTAGCCAGAAGCTAACCAACTTCAAGGGCAGATAGAGGGCCCTCCATAGCTGAAGTCCCAGGTAAGACTCCAGACGATGTAGCTAATTATCGCTCCCCATACAACTTTCTCACTGAAACTACCAAACCCTTGAAGAGGAGAAAAAGGCTATTAGGAAAGAATCCTAGTAGTCATCCTAATACTGTAGAAGCCTACCTGGATCTCTGGAAAAAGCTAAATGATGACACATCATAGGCAGCTTTCAGTAAATGCACTTTGGGATCTCCTTTGTAAAGGACACTTAGACTGTAAAGCTTCATCCTTTTATTTACTTAATACAATTCTGTATGATTCTTGATGACCTGAACAATGAAAGAGGGAAGACACACACACAAAACAGCATTATTTTATTCCTGATACTGCATTGTAAAATTCCAATATATATTCCCAATTAGATATCTCATTGTGAATGCTTTGCACATCAGAAAATGAAACATAGGAAGACTGAAAGCCTATGCTACAATCCTATGAGCATCTACTTGGGCATTTGTATGTATGTATGCAAATACAGCTAGAGCCTGACATAATATTCCTCTGATAAACACACAATGGCCTATAATTTAAAAGAGACATTAAGCATAATAGATACTCAAAGCCTTTTTCAAAAAAAATTTTTTTAACATGTTTGCATAAAATAAAGCAGCCGGCTTAAGGCTAAGTTGTGAGCTCATTTGCTTTTCTACCTCCAAATGTAAATCCATCAGCCAGTGCAAATTAGATTGGAAGATGCTGCAAACTTTTTGGCTGGATAAACAATACAAGCAATGCCCAGGAGTAAACATGCCACCAAAATTATGAGCACCTACCAAAGATTCCAAAGAGGTGCACGCACCAAGGTTTAAATAACTTTTTTAGAAACATTATTTACATACTCATCTAGTTTCACATCCCATGCCATAATTATCACTTAAGTTCAGAACTACAACACATATCCTACATAGTTGGCTGGACAATACTGTGGGACTTTTTCCTTTTAAATACTGTATGTATAGGATGTTTTTTTTTCTAAACATGCAGAGGATTATGTCTCTAGTATAAGACAAAATTCACAAATTATTGATGTGTCAACTTCTACATGTTTCCATTTCCCTTTGGTTGCAATCCTATCCAATCTTAACAACTGTGAATACAGTGGATTTTCCTTCAGTGTAAACATGCACAGGATTGGGTCTTGTGCATTTGGGGCCTTTAAACCACAAACCTTCCTTCCATGAAAGTGTGGGAGGAAGAAATGTATTATTTACTGGACTTGTGTAGTCCATGAAGATGGGATTTGTTCCCAAAGTGTTTGAAATTACCACCTACAAGTACAGGAGAAGAAGGGAAGACTACAAGCAACTGATCCCATTGGGAACAGGATAAAGAGAGGAATCCAATTCTCTGTTCTCAAAGCAAACCCTCTGTTCTCAAAGTACCTCAGTCCTCTCTCTTCCTCTTTCCACCTCAGTCTCTCAAGAGCTGAAAAGTCGAGTGTCTTGTGGCACCCTTAACTCTAAGTTATTTTGGCATAAGCATTCATATACTAGAAGCCATGCTGAACCAAAAGAAGGGTGCATCTACTCCAGCATTCTGTTCACACAGCAGCCAACCAGAGAATCCCACAAACAAGATCTGAGTACAATAACACACTCCCGTCCAAGTTTCACAACAACTGGTGTACACGGGCATATGGCCTCTGCTCCAGATGGCAGCATACAGCCATCAGGACAAGTTTTCATTGTTAGCCTTCTCCCCTGTAAACTCATTCAAGCTCTTGTTATTCCACCCAAAACGGTGGCCATCACTGCAATGAATAAAGAATTAGCTTTGGTTGGCAGGAGCATACATAGTAAATAAAGTGATTAACGATGAAGTCAAAATGCCATGAAATGTTGAGGCTATAATCTGGCCATTTCTATGAATCCACACGCACGCACACACGAATGAATATACCAATAATCTATCAGTTTTTGAAGCAAAACTGCATTAAAAACTCAGAGGGTGGAGAAAAATCCCAAGAATAACTGTGTTCTACTCAGCACATTATTTCATATGGGATTCTTTGCATACAAATCAAGTCTGGATGTATTCCAATTTCTCAATCAGTTCTTCAAGTATCCCTGGATCTGTTCAATACAGCTCCCTGCGCTCCTGAGCTGGAACAAACCTTTCCGGCTCCAAGAACAGCAGAGAAAGACATTCTGATAGATTGCTGGTGAATTCTAGCAACCAACAAGAGTTTAACTCCAAGCAGTTAATAATAGTATGTAAAACTGAACATTAAAAATGCTATTTCTCTTGGTACAACTAGCTTTATGCTACTCTTGAGCTTTACCTTCTTCAGCTATAATATATTCAGAATAACTGGCCGCCTTTAGTCAAGTCACTAAGCCGCTCAACTAGTCCCTTTATTTTTGTGTGTGTAAGGAAACACTTGTTCCCATTTCACTTTGCCCCTACACCCCGTAACTCGAAGATTTAAATCTGAGTAAACAGCGTATGGCTGGCAGGTTGCAGCAGGCAATCAACTCCACCGACACGCCCACCCCACCCCGTTTTGCACCTACGTTTGACTTCGGCATTAAGAATCACGCAGTAACAACCCCAAAATACAACTCACAAGCCCTAAGTCTGTCCTTCCCTGCTGCACAGTGTCGACGGCAACCCTGACACGGAATAAAGAACAGCACAGTCACAGCCGCCACAGCAATGGCGACGGGGAAGACCATCCCTTCCCCTCTTGAGGGTCCGCCTTGGCTGGACCCCGCAGAGGGCCGAGTCGCGGGGGGGCGGGCGGGGCGGCCAACACACCGGCGAGAACGCTAAAGACTTACCCGGGCGCAGCTCACGGAAGAGGGGCGATCGGACTCGCTGCGGGCAGCACCCCTCCCACGTCACCGGTCTCTCCCCAAGCAGCTAGCCGAGTGAGCGAACAAAGCGGAAGCCGGCGAGCCCTTTGACCCGGAAGTGGAGCGCGACCAGAAAACGGAAGTTCTGCGAGCATAGCGAGGGAGTCACCATAAATCTAGTAAAGGTAAAGAGCTGCAGTATGCAGACGAAATTGTTTCTGTTATTAAATGAATCTGAAAGCAGTAACATTATCCAAAATGCTTCCTTTGGGTATAGCGCTGTTTCTCCCTCGGTTCCAAATAGGTGAGGCTTGTGTATAGAAAGCGACTGAGAGATCCACGATTTTACGGAGCTCCTTTTGGGCAGGAGCGTATCTTCTATCACTTTTGGAAAGAGCATGGACTCCTGTGACTCCTCTTACTCTTAATATGAAAAATGACACATACACGAGGTCCTTAAGACGTTTTTAAAATGGTCTCGCCAAAACCGATGGTGCCCTCTGTCTCCCTTCGCAACTGTAGGGCAACCCGGATCTGAGGCTAGTTCCGCTCAATACAAAGTTCCCCCTCCAGTGAAGCAAATGAACTGCCGACGCCCCGGGTCCCCTTCGCCCCGTCCCAGCCAAAATGCAGTGCTCGACTGCGTACAGACGCCGGTAACAAACAAAATCGGCTTCGCCACAACACATGCTGAATGGCAGCAGGGACCGGGGCTTGCAGCTATGTTTTGCTGGAATGTGTGGGGAGAGAAGCTTGCGAAGAAACTACGCTAACGCTTGGATTTCAATTTCATCCTTTTGAGTAGCAATACCGTTGTTCAGAAATGGCTAAAACATGGCTTCCAAAATCGACCCGGAGGTTGAAAGACTCGGTGTTTGTCTACAGCTACAAGTCTGAAGGGCTAATCGTCACAAGACCGAATATAGATCCCACCCATCCATAGAGTGCATGCGTTTTCGACACGGACCTCCACCGAAGTCTAGTGGATGCAGTCAAAAATGGTTCACTAATAAGGTTTCCGGTTCCATATGGCCAGCGCTACATGGACGGGGACCTAGGATTATATAGCAATCTGTATAAACTCAAAACTGATTTAGGTAGGATGCTTCAGGGGCTCCCTTTTGCTGCAGCGCGTTGACAGGCTTTGTTTACACCCAGCGCCCCACAGACAGAAGTGCAAACAGAATAAGGATGATGGGGTGCGGAGTGAGAGCTGTGCTTTGAGAAGCCCCGTGGCATGCAGAAATTCATCAGGTGGAGATGCCACGCTAAAACTTCCACGCTGCCATTAAAAAAGTGGGCAGCACTGCAGACTTACGCTGTACTTGTTTTAGCGAAACGAAATACAAAATTGTATTAAAGATTTTCATGGTGCAGTTCTGTATCTATTTAGAGAGAAATATATCCCAGCAAAGACTGGGAGCTGTAGGACTTTCTTCCTATGTAAAGGTGCATAGGATTTTGCAGCTAGTTAAGAGAACTTGCTAAATCTTAACACAAAGAAGCAAGGCAATAAGAAAATGTTACATTTTTTTTTCTTTTAAAGGGCGTCTTGTGTTATCCAAATATCACCAGTAACATCTGTAATAATAGTAAAGAAACCTTGTGAAACAGTGTTTCAGGCGGGGGAATTGCACAACAATTCGGTGTTACAGCTTTCGCTTTGGGAAGATACAGCAACATGCTTTTGATAAGCGTTTTTCCCCGAGCTGAAGCCCAACACCATCCCTTTTTGTTGAAATGTATGGGAAACATTATTCCCGTTAACATGCAATCTTTATTTCAGTTTTGATAGGGTGCAGGAATCAAGCATTCGATATTGTCTTTTAAAGAGCTGTGCAACAGTACCTGTTTCATTTTCTGACCAAGAGATTATGGGGGGTTTTTTGTGGGGGGTATTCTACATGAGGCATTTATTTATGTAAAACATTTATTGCACACCTGTGATTCCTCACTCTCAGAAGTTGTACTACCTTTTGACAACATCACCATCCTTCAGGTTTGCCCCCTCTCTGTTTTCCAGCTGCCCACCCCCCTCTTTAAGAACAAAGAATGTCAGGTTTCAAATTTCAAATACAGAACAAATGTGGAAAAAGTTCTGGTAATGTCACAATTCTGTTATATAGCACCTATCCCTCAATGCCACCTTGCAGTTGGATAATCAAATATTTATTGATGTATTTATTTTATTTATATCCAACCTTTTTTCTTTTTAAAGATCTCAAAGCAGCTAATATAATTCTCCTCCTGCTTTCAATTTTATTCTAAGAGCAACAACTCTGTGAGGTAGGTTGGGCTGAGAGTTTGTGAATGGCCCTAAGTCACCCAATTGGTTCCATGGCCAAGTAAGAATTAGAATCCTGATCGCCTGACTCCCCGTCCTGCAGTCTTAACCACCACACCACACTGGGTCTTTTGACACTGCTTTTGACCTTTTTTCCTAATTGTCCACCTACAATTTCTCTTTTCAATCTCTCGGACAAATGCAATCCAAACATGGATTTGCAATATTACGTTAAATTCTGTCATTTGGTTATTCAATCTTGGATTGAGAAGAGATAAGAGCACTGAATTTCTATATCACTTACTCGCTCTTTATCCAGTAACTTCGGGCAACCAAGTGACTCCCTAAGAAACATTAAAAAAAACAGTGTAATATTATATTAGGAGCAAGTCTGTAGAATCACCAGAAGGCTTGATAAGAGAAAGTTGTCTTAGGGCTTTTCTAAACAAGGCTTTTGATCCAATACATCTACTTTTGATTTTGTCACAGGACTAAGATCTATAAAAGTTTTTCCTAATTTTTTGCCATGTAACCGCTAACAAACACTGGGATATAGTAGAATAGGACAAACACCCAAGAGTAAGTGGTATGTTACTTCACTATCAGAAGTAATATTCCATTTTTCTGCTCTAAAAGAAAAAAAATGTGGAAACGTGCCATTTATAAACAGAAACATAACTGGATGATCAGAATGGGAATGTCATGTAAAGAACCTGTGAGTAGGAACTGAGCAGCACACATGAAATGCTCTTAGCCAAGCTGGAGGACTCCTAGCACTACCAGACAGAAGCTATGATGCAATAGTTCCATCTTCTTTTTTCCTTAAAAAACAAGACCAAAGCAAGAAGAAGTTGTGGGAAAACACAGGAAGGTTGCCACTGGAAGGTAATGTTTGGATCCTCCATAAATTTTGTGAATGAAGCAACACTATAAAAGCTTCATCTAGACCCATTCCAAATTTGCCACTTGTAGTAGTTTCAAAATGAAGGACACTATTTATGGACAACATGAATTAAACTCAGACAGAATTCCAAAGGCTAAATTCTAAGTTTTAGGGTTTTTTGGCTTCTTTTTTCCCTTCCCTCCTTTAGCATTACCCAACTTTTCTTTTCCAAAAACTCCAGAGCAAGATTCCAATAGATAAAGAGAGAGGAAAAAGCACCATCTTGTAACCTCTGGACAGAGTCTACTTGGCCATAGGAGAATCTGGAGTCCCAGCTCCATCCCCAGAAATGTGGTCAAAGGCCAGAGCTGTCTGTCTGCCCGTGCAGCTGGGGCAGAAAGAACCACAGTTGCTGTAACTCTGAGGTGGCAAGAGCAACCCTGGCTAGCATTTCCTGGGCATTCTTTTGCAGGCTGGGAGAAGCATGGGGGACAACCTTTGCTCTGAGCTTGCTGCCCATATGGTGCCTGTAATCCTTTGCATTTAGAGAGCTAAAGGGCAGCCAACTGTGCTGACACAGGACTATTTTAGCTCCCGGGAATGATATTCTTATTGCACAATAACTCTGTTTAACTTTGAATTCCTTTGTGCAATGTTTGCTCCTCATAAGGAGGAGCATAATCACAGCCAGAATTAAGGGATGTGGGTGTGGAACCCTTGTCTTTATATTCAGATGAAGGTATTTGCCCCACCCAGCAACAAATCCTACAACCTCATCTAAGCAGTAATCAAGGCTTGATGTAGCAAGAAGATTTTCTTGGTGTGACATAGCTGTGGAAGAAGGGCAGCCTCCCTCCTATCATTCACTCAAGCCCGTGATTCTCCCAGAATTCTCTAAGCAATCCAAGCATTCCATTTCTAAGTTTACTTGGAAGTATGTTCCATTGTTTTCATTCAGACTTGCTTCCTCCAAGCAGTGCTGAAAGCCTTTATGCCTAGGCTGAAACACACATTTTCAAAGGCCTTAACGCTCACCTAGAAATTGTCTTTTACTTTGGTTTCTTGGCATCAGCACAGTTCACAACTTATGCTCCCCTCTACAGTTTAAATGTCACCAAATTCCCTCCAACGAGTGTGCAAGTCTCCAACTTCCCTCCTCTAGATGCCATCCGTATTTCCCTGTGAGTCACTTAAGATGCAATTTCATCATAACGCGGCCGTGCCGTTGCTGACAGCATGTCATTACAATATCCAGAGCGGTGGCTGCATTTGTCTGCTGTAGCAAAGTAGCAGCGATAGCACATCTTGTGCACAGGAAAGACTACAGTTCACAAAGGTTTATACCACAACACATTTTTTTAGTTGTCCCTGAATAGTCTCACCTGGTGCTTCGGTTGAACTCTTTCCAGGGCCAGAAGACTTTCCTATGTTCCCAGAAATTTTAGTCCTTCAGTTTCTGTTGGTCCAAATCTGTTACTGTATTTTAAATCTTTGCATTGCTACTAGGTTTTGCTTTTTTAAAGATTAAAAATAGTTTTAACCCTTTAAACCTGTATTGTTTATTTTACATTGGTTTTTTTACGTTTTTAATGGTTGTGAACTATCCAGGTTATTGGGAAGTATAGAAATGTAATAAATTAATAAATAATAATATTTAAGATGACACAGTATTCTTTATTGGTTTAAAGTCTAGAATGTCATATATTTTCTGCACTGCTGGAAGCCTCTCTTATTTCTTTTTTTTCCACCTTCTCTGCCCTCTAATTTCTAGTGAAACTGACATTGTTGAAGAAAATTGTGTCAGTTTCACAGAGGGTCTCCTCAGTTATTCTTTTTAATTATACTAAGATGATACAGATCATTGCTGATTTGCTTGCAAGCCTGGAAGGACAAAGAGGAAGAGAAGAAAAAAATCAACTTATTTAGACAATT